TGCACATTTATTTACTTTATATGTAATAGATCGAATTTGTTGTTGTGATCTGCTGTCAGGGGAGCAGATCCCTACCCAAGAGTAGCATCGGCTGCCTCGATTATCACGTGGCGCACATTTTTTTTCGCCATCACTTTGTCACTCCACACGCGCACACTCCATATGAAAAAAATAAATAAATTTTTTTGGGTATACGGAAAATCTCTGACGCTATTCGTTAATCGATATCTACTGTACAACCCTTTTTGCATTTCCTTCCTGGCTTAAAACAAAATTTGTCAATAAGAAAAAGTCTATATACGCGTATTCACTGTTGATTCTCTTCAAACTAACAAGTTTGTTACTATGCTACCCATTCATCGTTTATTATTGGCAATCATTCCATATTTCCTTCTTTATCTTTTCTTCCGAGATGACACTTACAAAGATTTGTAACTCTTTAACTACTCCATCTGATGAACTTCAAAAAAATACTTTATGGAGAAGATTATGCTCGTTTTCCATGCATCCGCTGTCATATTGCTTGCGCTTATTATACCCACAATCTGAAAATGGGTAACCAGAAATAATGATATATTCCATCAAAAAGTATCTTTTCCGGAAATAAATCTTACTGCCAATCCATACAACCCCAGCAAAATTACAGCTTATATAAAACATGCCTTGCGCTTGCTCCAATAATTGGTATTGGCTTGGCTATACCCGTGATTGGATCGCAGGCAACAATATGACAGTAATATGAATTTACTTCCCCCGTAAATCTGCAAAATGTAGTGTATGTATTTCCTGATAAAATACGTAATGAAGATGCCAATTTACTCCCGTTTAGCTATAGGACTTCTCCAAGGAAAAGATAAATGACAAATATTATTTTGTTTTGAAGATCCTCTGAACTAGAAGCCGGTTTATTTATTTCCAGATAATCACAGATTTTATGACGACAATGTAATTGTTTTAAGTAATACTGGCATATGACAAATGTATTAAATCTCAATGCCTTCCGTTTTCGCCTTCATCCCATGTAACATACTCATACATGCAACTAGCGAAATTTTCAAACTACTGCGTGCAACATGCTGATCTTCCCTTATGATACACAAAATCATTATACCAATGCAATGAAAAAATAGAGTAAATGAAATTGTACTGGTGATTTTTACTTCAAAGAAACGGGACATCGCTTAAACGTGGGCGGAAAGGTTTACCAACTTGTTTATCACTTTATCCATATTTTGGAGCAGCATATAAACATACATGGGTTTGCTCATATGAGTCATATACATATCCTTTTATTTCACATATGCATAAACAAATAAGGATTAATAATAGAGACATGGAAAATTTTTATTTATTGACAATCTTTCAACATGTGATACCTGATAAAATGCTGATAAAATGATAGACTTAAGACTATGACCATTACTAAAATATGATGACAAAATAAAATAATAATAACAACAATGGGGAAAGTGTAATAAATACACCTTCAAACTTGGCAGTATATTATATAAACTTCCCAAAAGATCTGCACAGGAAATTATGATAAATGGGTATTTGTTGGTTAATGCAGAAATTATTTTAGGAAACAAAGAGTATAAAGAGTAAATAAATATCAAAACTATGTGAAAAAAGGCAAGCTCATGCAGCAAATGATGGTGATGGAAATGTACTTTTATGTTAAAGATTCAAAAAAGTCAGAGATAAATTTGATTCTAAAGCTTTTGCCAATGCTGTTGCTCCTGCAACTCCAATCTCATTAGACCCAAAGTGTAACAATTTGCATTGTTACGATTACGATATTGCAATATCGTAATCATTGAATAATAGTGAAGACGATACTATTTAGTGTATTATCTATGTCGTAATATGTTTACGCTTTTATTGCATCATTATTTAGCTATTATGTAGTCATAAATATATATATATTTTTATATCGTATATCGTCATAGTTATATACAGATATCGTCGCGGGAATATGTAAATATAAAAGAACATTATCTTACTCAATAAAACAAGGACTTTTTAGTTGAACGTCTAATAAACCATCCACTGACTTTGAGATTACTAACATTATTTCGAAGTCTTTTACAACTTGGTAGCAGCGGGCACGTTATTGATAGTACACATCACACACACACTAAAGACACGCTCGAAACACACACACAAAGACACGCTCGAAACACACACACAAAGACATGTTCGAAACACACACACCAAAGACACACACACTAAAAACACACACACTAGGGACACACTCGAAATACACGCATTAAAGACACACTCAAAATCATACTCACCTGAAACACATACTAATGGACGCAGAGCAATTCCAAACGTTTTTGCAAACCCTTATCACAAGCCTTGCTGGTGTAACCGGGCCACAGAATAATGGTAATCAAGGCAATGTGGCACGAATCGCAGTAAAAATTCCTTCCTATAAGGGAACACCTGAAGAAAACGTGATGACTTGGATGTTACAAGTGCAAAATATATTTGCTGCTCAGAAAATCGAAGACGAACAATCATGTATACACTATGCTGCTACGGGCTTTGAAGGAGCTGCTCTTCATTGGTATTTAAACCGTGTGCAAGCCGCTACTGTCGCTAAACAGCAGCATGTATTCGCTGACTGGGCCACCTTCGCTAATGCGCTCCGAACCGCATTCCAACCCCCCAATCACCAACAATACCTCCGTCAGCAACTCAAGAAACTGCGACAAACGGGATCTGTACAGGAGTACGGTATGCAGTTTCGAAATTTACTGGGACAAATAGAAGGGATGGGAGACCTTGACCAGGTCGCGTACTTTATTGATGGCCTTAAACCCGCCACCCGAATGGAAGTGAGCTACCAAGCTCCTACTGATTTTGAAACCGCTTGGACACTTGCCGTCCGATATGATATTGCTATGTACGGAGTGGGAAAACCAACAACCCAACGTTATAATAATGACAATACGCCATCGCAACAACGTCAACACTGTCGACCATTATCACCGAATACTGATCAACCGACTCCGATGGAACTAGACCAGGTAGAGAAACAACCACATAATAATAAAAGGTCTTCTGAAGATAAAAAAAG